CCCGGAACCGTCGCCCTGAGGGAGATCCGCCGGTACCAGAAATCCACCGAGCTGTTGATCCGCAAACTGCCCTTCCAGCGCCTGGTGAGGGAAATTGCGCAGGATTTCAAGACCGATTTACGCTTCCAGAGCTCGGCCGTTATGGCCCTGCAGGAGGCCAGCGAGGCCTACCTGGTGGGGCTGTTCGAGGACACCAACCTGTGCGCCATCCACGCCAAGAGGGTCACCATCATGCCCAAGGACATCCAGTTGGCCCGCCGCATCAGAGGAGAGAGGGCTTAAGTTCCACGGTCCAGTTAGAAAACACCCAAAAGGCTCTTTTAAGAGCCACAACATCAAACCTTAGAGCTCAAGTCCTCATCAATATTTTAAAAACTGTCCTCTTTAGTTTAATTTTCTGTTCTAAAATGTTTATTTCTACTTTGTATTACTCATATTGTGCACAAAACACCAAGGCAAATGCTAAGTAAGTTAAATAACTTACTTGGCAATAAACCTTATTCAAATTAATATATTAGATGTTTTATGCTTGTATATAATACAATAGGACTTCACATTCAACTATAAAATATCAATGCAATGTTAAGGAAAATAAGAATGAAAATGATTAGTTGGAATTTGGCAGCAGTTATTTTCAAACATTCTTAGAAAATGAAATGTCATTTGGTTCTAAACTAATAAATAAATGTGGATTCCGTGGTGTCATTCAGTCAAAAAGACCTTCTTTTGTGTCTTATCTGCGTCTTTAAACCCTCCAGAGCTGCCGTTATGGCTCTGCAGGAGGCCAGCGAGGCCTACCTGGTGGGGCTGTTCGAGGACACCAACCTGTGCGCCATCCACGCCAAGAGGGTCACCATCATGCCCAAAGACATCCAGTTGGCCCGCCGCATCCGCGGAGAGAGAGCATAAACACATAATCACCAGGAAAACACCCAAAAGGCTCTTTTAAGAGCCACAACATCCAACCTGAGAGCTCAAGTCCTCATCAATATTTTAAAAACTGTCCTTTTTAGTTTAACTTTCTGTTCTAAAATGTTTATTTCTACTTTGTATTACTCATATTGTGCACAAAACACCAAGGCAAATGCTAAGTAAGTTAAATAACATACTTGGCAATAAACCTTATTCAAATTAATATATTAGACGTTTTATGCTTGTATATAATACAATAGGACTTAACATTCAACTATAAAATATTAATGCAATGTTAAGGAAAATAAGAATGAAAATGATTAGTTGGAATTTGGCAGCAGTTCTTTTCAAACATTCTTAGAAAATTAACTGTAATTTGCTTCTAAACTGATAATAAATGTGGATTCCGTGGTGTCATTTAGTCAAAAAGACCTTCTACTGTGTCTTATCTAAACCTTCCAGAGCTCGGCCGTTATGGCCCTGCAGGAGGCCAGCGAGGCCTACCTGGTGGGGCTGTTTGAGGACACCAACCTGTGCGCCATCCACGCCAAGAGGGTCACCATCATGCCCAAAGACATCCAGTTGGCCCGCCGCATCCGTGGGGAGAGGGCTTAAGTTAGCGAGAATTAGGAAACACACCCAAAAGGCTCGTTTAAGAGCCACAACATCCAACCTGAGAGCTCAAGTCCTGATTAATATTCTTAAAGATTCAATGAAGTTTATTTGTATAGCCCTTTACAATACCCAAATGGTACTCAAAGTACTTTACAACAAAGCCATAAAACAATGCAAATTTATTTTTAAATTAAATGCTCATTTAAAAAAGTGGGTCTTGAGCTTTAAAAAAAAAAAAAAAAAAAAAGCTGTACTTTTTAGTTTTATATTTTTATTTCTACATTGTTACTACTCATGTTGTGCACCAAACACCAAGGTAAATTCCTTGTAAGTTGAATAACTTACTTGGCAATAAACCTTAGTCTGATCAATATATTATATAGCGTTTTATGCTTATACACCAGATAAGAAATGTGCATTTAGGAGATGCTTTTATCCCTATAAAATCAGACCCAATTCCTGTTAAGACCAAGATAAAGTGCAATATGTTACAATAGGATTTAATGTTCAACTATTAAAGATAAATGCAACGTTGAGAAAATATGAATGAAAATCATTAGTTGGAATTTGGCAGCAGTTATTTTCAAACATTATTAGAAAATGAAATGTCATTCTATTCTAAACTGATAGTAAATGTGGATTCTGTGGTGTCATTTAGTCAAAAAGACCTTCTACTGTGTCTTATCTGCGTCTTTAAACCTTCCAGAGCTGCAGTCATGGCTCAGCAAAACTTACTTGGCAATAAACCTTATTCTGATCAATATATTAAACGTTTTATACTTGTACACCACATAAATATACATATGTGCATTTAGGAGATGCTTTTATCCCTATAAAATCGGCCCCAATTCCCGTTTCAGTCCAAGATAAAGTGCAATATGTTACAATAAGATTTAACATTCAACTATAAAAGATAAATGCAATGTTGAGAAAATATGAATGAAAATGATTAGTTGTAGTTTGGCAACAGTTATTTTCAGTTCTTTAGATTCTTAGAAAATGAAATGTCATTTGGTTCTAAACTGATAAATAAATGGGGATTCTGTGGTGTCATTTAGTCAAAAAGACCTACTGTGTCTTACATGCATCTTTAAACGTTGACAATTTTTATCAAATTTTTCCTTTTGATGCATGGTCTAAAATCACATCAAATTAAACCTTTTTCCCGGTGTTATTCTGTGATTATTTTATATTAAGTTGTAAATATATATCGTCATTGCGTTTTGTTAAACGTTAAACACGATAGTAAATAATTCACCCAGTCAGCGTAGCTTTGGAATGTAAATATACAGTTGAGGAGCTAAATGAGATTTCCTTCTTTTGGATTCTTATGTTGGAATAATTGGGTATAAATAAAATCTTTCTCATGAAGGTAAATGTCCTTTTTTATTAATTATGTGTGAGTCGATTTCCTTTCGAAGCGTTAGCAACGTTAGGCGATCCTCACTACTGCGCATGCGCAGGGGTATCTGCTGTATGATTGGACGATTAGGTTCACGCTCCCTCTGACCAATCAGCGAGCAGTTGCTCTGTATATATATCGCCGGAGTCGGTTAGTTGGTACATCGTTCTTTCCGAAGACGAGAAATCATCAGCAAATAACTAAACATGTCTGGAAGAGGCAAAACCGGAGGCAAGGCCAGAGCAAAGGCGAAGACCCGCTCCTCCAGGGCCGGGCTCCAGTTCCCCGTGGGCCGCGTCCACAGGCTTCTCCGCAAGGGAAACTACGCCCAGCGGGTCGGGGCCGGAGCCCCCGTGTATCTGGCCGCCGTGCTGGAGTACCTGACCGCTGAGATCCTGGAATTGGCGGGAAACGCTGCCAGAGACAACAAGAAGACCAGGATCATCCCCCGCCATCTTCAGTTGGCCGTCCGTAATGACGAGGAGCTGAACAAGCTTTTGGGCGGAGTGACTATCGCCCAGGGCGGTGTGCTGCCCAACATCCAGGCCGTGCTCCTGCCCAAGAAGACCGAGAAGGCTGCCAAGGCCAAGTAAAGACCCGGTCCCTCTCACCTAAACCACCCAAAAGGCTCTTTTAAGAGCCACTCAAACCACTAAGAGAGAAAGTTATCCTTCAGAACCTGAATGGTGAATAACATGTAAACTGCCTTGGCTTTTATTGAATGATGAATATATGATAAAACTAGCTAAAATATGCTAAGGTTCAATCAGGTGGTAAAACTGGTATAATCTATACTGCCTAATAAGACTGAGATGGCTGCCAAGGCCAAGTAAAGACCCGGTTCCCCTCCCTTAAACCACCCAAAAGGCTCTTTTAAGAGCTACTCAAACCACTAAGAGAGAAAGTTGTCCTTCACAAACTGAATGATGAATCGCATGTTATCAGCTTTAGATTTTTATTCAATAAAAATCAATATATTAAAAAACCAGCTTAAATGCTAAAGTTCAATGATATAAGAAAACAAGTATAATTTATACCAAGTCATTTAAAAAAAAAAAAAAGAAGCATATTGATAAATCTATTGCCTTAAAAGAACTCGACTAAACTATTAAAGATTAACATGACTAAAAGCAAAGTTAAAAATGAAATCCCGAAGTTGGATGGTGCAAATGGCAGCTGTTGGACTAGTTTGCTACTAAAGAAGCCAATATTTCAGACAGTTTCTGTCCGAACAACATGGTTTTTAAAAGATTATCTGCATTTATATCCCCCTTTTTTAAAAAATACAATCATTGTTTTTGTTCTATTTATCCTGGCGGTGCTGCTACCCAAGAAGGCTGCCAAGGCCAAGTAAAGACCTGGTCCCTCTCCCCCAAACCACCCAAAAGGCTCTTTTAAGAGCCACTCAAACCACTAAGAGAGAAAGTTGTCCTTCACAAACTGAATGGTGAATCACATGTGATCTGCTTTTATTTAAAGATGAATATAAGATGGGAAAACTAGCTAAAATATGCCAATATATGTTCAATCATATGATAAAACTGGTTTAATCTACAGCAAGTCTTCATTTAAAAAATAAAACAAAATAAAAGAACTCAAAAGAACTTCCGAAATCCCGAAGTTGGGTGATGAAAATAGCAGCTGTTGGGATATTTTACTACTAAAGAAGCCAATATTTGGGACGGTTTCTGTCTGAACAACATGGTTTTTTAAAAGAATATCTATTTATATCCCCCTTTTTTAAAAAATACATTCTATTTAGCAATGGAAATATATGAATTGAAAGCATAACTGCCAGTTTCATTAAATCTTTATATATTCTAGATTACTATACATATCCTAATTAAACGTTCCTGATTATAGGACCACAAATAACTTCAGAAAGAGCAAAACATATTTAAGTGAATGTTTCCTTGCATGTTAAAATCATAGTTGGTATTTTTGCCTCATTAAATTAGATTAAACTTGGTTTAATCTGTTTTATGGTGTTCAAATTCAAAAGGGGAGAACTTTATCACATTTTCCCTTTATATCATATTTAAGCCATTTAACCGTTTTTTAGCAGTTAACTTTCCACTTCCATTTAGCTACGCAGGTCATTGTGGTGTGTTTACAGGCTGACCCCGCCTAGTGACGTCAGCACAGCCTGTTCTCACTTACGTCCGCAGATGTGCTTTATATCCACGACACGACGGCAGACGTTCAGTTTGTTTTTTGACTTTGTACTAAACAGGCAACAATGAGTGGAAGAGGAAAGGGCGGGAAGGGACTCGGTAAAGGAGGCGCCAAGCGTCACCGTAAAGTGCTCCGCGATAACATCCAGGGAATCACCAAGCCTGCCATCCGTCGTCTGGCTCGCCGTGGCGGTGTGAAGCGAATCTCCGGCCTCATCTATGAGGAGACCCGCGGGGTGCTGAAGGTCTTCCTGGAGAACGTCATCCGGGACGCCGTCACCTACACCGAGCACGCTAAGAGGAAGACGGTGACCGCCATGGACGTGGTTTACGCGCTCAAGAGGCAGGGCCGCACCCTGTACGGCTTCGGAGGCTAAACTGATCCTGGACCCGCTAAAAGCAACACAACGGCTCTTTTCAGAGCCACCCACTAACCACACAGAGCCCTGAGACCTTTGAATTGTTTTTAACATGAAATATGGTATATCATTAAGGTTAAAAAAAATCAATGATCTATACGTAGAATATTAGTCTAGATGGAGCTAGTTAACCTCACAGAGCCATGAGACCTATGGATTGTGTTTGAACATGAAATATGGTGCATAAAGGTTTAAAAAAATAATATATATAAAGTAGGATATATATATTTTTTCTTACATGTTAACATAGCTTGTTGAAGATATTTTCAGAATATATATATGTCAACTAAAACTATATTATGTAGAGTTATGTTCCTAATTTGATCATATAGACATCTATATTCTCACAACTAGGGACCTTCATTCTTAACTAGGTCCATCTTAATACAAATTAAGTTTTAGTTGACAAAGTGATGATGGACTAAGTTTAGAAAGGTCCTGAGTTCAGGATTAGATAAAGATATATTGCTCAGACTTGATTTTAACAGTAATACAAAAACCAGGTTGAATAAATTAAATGAAATGCATCATCCATCCATTTTGTGAACTACTCAATACTTAATGGTGTCTTGGGGGGGACTGGAGCCCTCACTTATTAAAAACAATGGTGTTAATTTATTCCACTCTACTCTTAACAGTTTATTATTACACTTAAACTGTAAAAATTTAAAAGCATAATCAGATTTTATCAGATTAATTTGCTCTTACTGATTAAGTTATATTTTGCTGATGTAGGACCACAACTAACTAGAGAAATGCAAAATGAGTGAATGTTTTTTTTTAACATGTTAACATAGCTTGTTGTATAAGGTATTTTTTCTCATTAGATAAATTAGATTAAATCTGGTTATCCCTGGGAGGCAGTAACTTAATATTTTTCAAATCTGATTTTTTTTTTTCTTCCAGAGAAACCGCAACCTTATGAGAAATATTAAATATCACTATGATGAATAGATATGAATATTACTATTATATACCTTTTTGAGAAGTTACATATTCACTTTTTGGTGTATTGTGGAATGGTTTCATTGATAAAGCTTATGTGAACACACTGTAGGAAAAACTCAAAAGTACATATAAATGCCTCTAGTTGAATTTCAGATAAATACCTGATACAGATGACGTCCTCTTTAATTTAGAGATCACCTTCCCATTTTTGGTCCTACTTTTTCTTTTAATGTATGAATCCCTCTATCCATATCCAAATGAGAATAAACCAGAATAGATCAAGAGTACAAATATGACATTTATTGGTCAAACTTAATCAGAAACAAAGCTCCCGGAGGATCTCAGTCTGGAAGAGCCTCGATTTCCAGGTGTGATGGACATTTATCTTCTGTTTCTGCCCTTCAGAAAAGGAGGACTGGACTCAACTGAGTGTTATTGGCCAGTTAGCTCTGACAGGAACCGGCCAGAGGCTCCTGGTTCATGCAGATTTTGGTGGAATGTGATAAAAAAAGTGTGGATGTTGACCTTGAAGACGAGTATCTACTGTAACAGAGAGAGAAGGACAATCTGTGGGCTCAGCCAGAGAGTTTAACAGCAGAGTATAATTGTAAAAGGAATAATATAAATCTATAAAGGGATAAGACAATCAGTAATTCAAATGGATTAAGTTCTAACATACTAAGCTAAAGTGAGTAAATATAGCTCAGTTCTAACAATGTGTATCAAAAGTACATCATGATGCTTCAAGTTGAATTTGAGAGAAATATATATCTAATGGTGATAACGTCCTCTTTAATTAAATGTTTTTCAACCGTTTTTCATTGAAAAAATCACGAGTCACACCACCAACCAGAAATGTTAAATGATTCTCTGTGGCCGCCTATATTAACAATTTAGTTATTCTTACCAAAGTGTCTTGAATAGCTTTAAGGGCTCTTTCATTTTCCTTTGTGGTTTTTCTCATAATAGTTGCCTGTTTCTCCATGTGTTTACGCCAGAGAACAAAATAGTCTGCATTCTTGTTTTTAAGATGTTAGAATTTGGCTATAATTACTCACTTTAGCACTGTATGCTAAAACATGATCTATGTAAATACTGATTGTTTTATTTTCCTTTATAACTATATTTTATGTTAAAGTCTCTGGCTGTGTCCACAGACTCTCTTTTCTCTCTTTTTCTCTCTCTGTTGCATTGGATCCACCTTTAGGTCAACACAGACACACACCATTTGTTAGCACATTCCTGTCATCTGCATGAATTAGGACCTGGCCTGTTCGTGTCCAGAGGTAACTGGCCAATAGGACTTGGTTGTGTCCAGTCCTCCTTTGAGGAGGCGGATGGAGCCCAGGAGATAATGCCCATCACCCAGATCTCAGGGCTCTTTGCCCACTGAGACCAATAGAGAGGTTTTAGTCTGTCAGAGCCCAGCTGATTTACTTAACTGTGACCTAATAAATGTAATTTTTATACTTTTAATCCACTATGGTTTATTCTCAGGTTTCCAACCAAAAGAATCAGGCTTACAAATGGTACTCAGGTTTCCAACTAAAGAATCGGGCTAACAAAGAGAAGGGCGTTTCGCTTGGAGATGGCGTTTATGTTTGCTTGGTACCATATTCCTGTTAGATAGCTTTTCACCGCATACTAGCACAATGAAGTTGGTGTTGTTGCATCCCCGCCAAAAGTGAATCCAAATGATATGTAACTCTCAATGTGTTGCCTCGAGCTTACGGTATTTGTCTTTTTTGATATCCACTTATACTTATACTTGTCCAGGGCCCAGATCGGAGTTAGCTTTTTTCTTTTCAAAAACTTCCCCATCACAGTCATCACAGAAAACCTCACCTCTACCGGTCACATTCATGCATCACTAATAATTTATTTGTGATCAAAAAATCTTTTTAGACGATTAGCTGAAATTGGCAAATTTTCCATGTAACATCTGACAATCACTAGTGGTTGAAAAACACTGTTGTAACTGATCACAATTGTTTAACTGACCAGTGTAATTACAATTTGTTTCCCGCCTCTTTTTCTCAGTCCGTTGCCAACTCTTAGGGAAGGAATTTGCCCTGGAAACACACCAGTGAGGATTGACCAATCGCTGACGCGTAACAGCACAGCTCCATTTGCATACGGTCTGTATATAGTCTGTCTCCTGCCCTCCGTCCTGCAGTAGTTATTGTGATTCAATAGCGATTCAACATGCCTGAACCCGCCAAGTCAGCGCCCAAGAAGGGCTCCAAGAAAGCCGTGACCAAAACCGCCGGCAAAGGGGGCAAGAAGAAGAGAAAGACCAGGAAGGAGAGCTACGCCATCTACGTGTACAAGGTGCTGAAGCAGGTCCATCCCGATACCGGCATTTCCTCCAAGGCCATGAGCATCATGAACTCCTTCGTGAACGACATCTTCGAGCGCATCGCCGCGGAGGCTTCCCGCCTGGCTCACTACAACAAAAGGTCCACCATCACCTCCAGGGAGATCCAGACCGCCGTGCGCCTGCTGCTGCCCGGGGAACTGGCCAAGCACGCCGTGTCCGAGGGCACCAAGGCCGTCACCAAGTACACCAGCTCCAAGTAAACGGCTCAAAGTAAACGGCCGTTTACAGCCTAAACGGCCGTTTACCGCCAACTCCAACGGCCCTTTTCAGGGCCACTCACCTCAACCTGAGAGCTGATGCTATTCCTAACGTCCACTCGGTTCAAAGCTGACCATTTGAATTTTTTGATCTGTTTTATGTACATAGTGTGTGTATGTATGTATATATATATGTATATATATATATAGCCCCACATTATATGCGTTACATATTTACCATGTTACAAAACAAGCCCAACTTTTATTAAGTCAAGGAACATAAACCTACCTAATCTACAGTTAAATTTAACTTTAGAAGTAAATGCACTAAGACGATTAGTATTTGGTAAAGTGGTTTAGCTATAATTTACACTGCAGCTCTTCTCATAAGTGTTTAGTCATTTATCAAATGTTGATATTCTTAATTTAGGAAAAACCTGAGAATACCTCAGATGTTTGTTAAATGTTTAAAGCATTTCTAATCAGGCTATGTAACAATACCGTGTGTAAAATATTACAAGTAAAAAAGCCATGTTTTTCTTTTAAAGGCAAAATGTGAACATGGGGTTGAATTAAAAGGCCATGAGCATCATGAACTCCTTCGTGAACGACATCTTTGAGCGTATCGCAGCGGAGGCTTCCCGCCTGGCTCATTACAACAAAAGGTCCACCATCACCTCCAGGGAGATCCAGACCGCCGTGCGCCTGCTGCTGCCCGGGGAACTGGCCAAGCACGCCGTGTCCGAGGGCACCAAGGCCGTCACCAAGTACACCAGCTCCAAGTAAACTGCTGTTTACCCCCAACTCCAAAGGCCCTTTTCAGGGCCACACACTTCAATCTGAGAGCTGAGATTATTCAGTTTAAAACTGATCAGCTGTATTTTATCTGTATATTGCATACATAAATATATACGTGTGTATGTGTACACGTGTGTGTGTGTGGACTGTCTCAGAAAATTATAATGTGATAAAGTTCTTTTTTTCTGTAATGCATTTAAAAAAATATGAAATGTCATACATTCTGGATTCATTACAAATCAACTGAAATATTGCAAGCCTTTTATTGTCTTAATATAGCTGATTATGGCTTACAGCTTAAGAAACCCAAATATCCTGTCCTATTACAGAAAATAAAGAACAATATTCTAATTTTCTGAGACAGTCCTGTATATATTGCCCCACATTATATTTCCTCCCTATGTTGTACATAATTATCATGTTGCAAAAAAAAGCTCAACTTTAATTAAAGATAAATGAGGAACATAGCACCTAAACTACAGTTGGACTCTAAATTCAAGTTGAGAGGACTAGAAATAAATGTACCAAGTTGATTAGTGTGTAGTAGGGTGGTTTAGCAATAATTTAGGCTGTAGCTATTCCCATAAGTGTTTAGTCTTTTGTAAAATGTTGATAAACCTGGGAATACCTCAAATATTTGTTGAATGTTTTTATTCAGACTATGTAACAATGCTGTTTAAAATGTTAAAAGTAAAAAAAGCCATGGGTTTTCTTTTTATGGCAAAGAGCTGTTGTGTCTGAGGGCACCAAGGTCGTCACCAAGTACACCAGCTCCAAGTAAACTGCTGTTTACCGCCAACTCCCAAGGCCCTTTTAATGGCCACACACTACAGTCTGAGAGCTGATGTTGAAACTTGATCACTGTCAGTGTTGTCTCACAATGATTTGTTAAACAAAATTAAATGGTTATATTCATAAAATGAACCAAACAAGCCTTCTGTGTGCAGTTTCCCATTCAAATGGCAAGCTATATCTGTGTAAAACCATGGGACAGTAGAAAAATCACTATATTGGCGATCATTACACATATATATTTTTTTCCTTTTAATTTGAACAAACATCAGCAATACAATTAAGTTTAAAATACTATTACATTATTAGAGCAAAGCCGATGGAAAAAAAGGGGGCATTTGGCTCCACCCCCCGATTGCAGGCTGCTCTCTCTTACGTCCGCAGTCTGGCTATAAAGACGCAGCGCGCCTATACTCGCTCTGTTGTTCTCAGTCTAATTTGAACAGTAATCATGAGTGGAAGAGGAAAGGGCGGGAAGGGACTCGGAAAAGGGGGCGCCAAGCGTCACCGTAAAGTGCTTCGTGATAACATCCAGGGAATCACCAAGCCCGCCATCCGTCGTCTGGCTCGCCGTGGCGGTGTGAAGCGAATCTCCGGCCTCATCTACGAGGAGACCCGCGGGGTGCTGAAGGTGTTCCTGGAGAACGTCATCCGGGACGCCGTTACCTACACCGAGCACGCCAAGAGGAAGACGGTGACCGCCATGGACGTGGTTTACGCGCTCAAGAGGCAGGGCCGCACCCTGTACGGCTTCGGAGGCTAAACTGATCCTGGACCTGTTTAAACCAACAAAACGGCTCTTTTCAGAGCCACCCACTTACCCCACAGAGCCTGGAGATCCTTGAATTGTGTTTGAATATACTGCTATATCAAGGGTTAAAAAACGTTTAAATATAAAACCAGTAATGAGGATGATGATGATGGTCCTAGTTAAGAATAAAGATCCCTAGTTGTAAGAATTGGGTATAGACCTACTTTCCAAGCTTTGTTTTACTATTAGTAGCATGCAAACAACTTTGAATAATTGAAATGTTGAACTTATTATGGTGTCATTTGGGTTCTGGAGCCTACATGCGTGTGTATATGTATGTGTATGTGTGTATATGTATGTGTATATATGTATATGTGTATATATATATATATATAATTTGGTCCCTTCTGCTCTAACAAAGTATTTGAGGCATAACTACCAGAGTTAAAAAGTCTTTAGAACATGATATATGGCATACTATTGACATTAATACTACTAATATGTAAAATGATTACATTATACACATAAAACTATTTAACATGGTTTTGTTAGTGGTCCCACTAACACTTTTTCAGAATTATAGATATTATTTCAGACTTGATTTTACTGGTAGTAACAAGCAAACAGGATTGAATAAATGCGATAAACCAACACAATGGCTGATCTCAGAGCCAACCACTTTATCCACAGAGCTCAAATCCTTAGGTTTAAGATTTTTTTTTCTACTTTCCAAAATCTATACCCGTGTTGTTCTTTGTTCTTTAGCATAAATTTCAAACCATGGCTTCATTAGCCATTCAATCATCACTGAACCTAATACATATACTTTCCCCTCCATTTTGAGTTTTTTTTTCAAACATGTTCTAATAGAAATAGCTGTCTGGCCGCCTTTTTTCTTTTCTTTTTTAACAATGTCCACCCCCCAGCAGCTGCTCCAGTTGGCGGCAAACGGCCAGCTTGGTGGAGAAAGCCGTTGGGTGATACCAAGTCTTTCGCGGGGGATGATGTTATAAAATGTTATACTATTTTACCAAAATTTGATTACTAATAAAGAACATATTATTCATGTAATATGTTTTGTAACAACTGAAATAACATGATTTTATTTCAGGTGTTTTGGTGCTCATTTACAAAACCCTCTTTTGTAGAAAAGCCATCACTTTTTTTTTCAGGTGCAGATTTTAAAAAAGGACTCTCTTCTTAATAGTTTCCCGGTTTAAAATGAAATTAAAAGAAAGGGCACATTAACTCGTGTGGCCAAATTCCAGTTTGATTCAGTCACACAGAGAAAAGGAATCAAGTCAGCTGAGAACGCAAGTTTTATTTTAGTTTTCTGAAGAATGGAGAGGGATTCAGGGCACAGCTGGAAGACAAAGAGAAGTACAACACACACCTAAAATGTAGTAAAAGCTGAATGATAAGATGGCTGGCTTTACCCATAAACTTTTAATCCTTTTTTGATGGATCAGCAAAACAAGCTTTCCCACCCCCCCTGCTCTGTTTTAATATTAGCAACGATTTAAGATGGATTTCAAGACGTTGTAAAGCAAAACCAAAATCCACTCAATTCATGCTTTAAACGGCTATCAATCTGTTTCCAATAAATAGATTTAAAAAATATATTTTTTCTTGCATTCATTTTTGTTTTGGCTGCGTTAGTTCTTCATATGTCCAGATGATGGCACTAATGATAAAATACATGTTCCAACGAAGACATAAACAGCTTTTGGAGCATTTCTCTGCCGGGGTTCAGAATTATGTTGTTTCACTTATTACTTTAACTGGTTAAAGCCATCAGTTTTCAACGTTTAGTGGTAGAATGTTGCTGTTTATATGAGAGGTAAATTATTCCTATTTTTTAAACGGTCAGTCCTGCAAATAATCAATGTTATAAAAGAAAAGTGGAAATATAACTTGTTCTGACATTAAGTGAAAACACGGATACGATTTCAAGTTGATCTGAAACAATAAATGTTAAGAAAATTCGAGTAAAGTTGTACATTACACTATCTATCTTGAAGCACAAAGCGGATTTCCTCATAAATATGCAGAATCACTTGAGCTCCTCTGTGATTGGACGATGCGTTTGCCGCCCCTTTCCGACCAATGAGCGAGCGGCTGCTCTCAAATATAAACCCCCAGCTTGGAGCACAGAGTCACTTCTCTATCTCGGGAAACAACTCAAGAACCTAACATGTCTGGAAGAGGAAAAACCGGAGGCAAGGCCAGAGCAAAGGCAAAGACCCGCTCCTCCAGGGCCGGGCTCCAGTTCCCCGTGGGCCGTGTCCACAGGCTGCTGAGGAAGGGAAACTACGCCCAGCGGGTCGGGGCCGGTGCCCCCGTGTATCTGGCCGCCGTCCTGGAGTACCTGACCGCTGAGATCCTGGAATTGGCCGGTAACGCTGCCCGTGACAACAAGAAGACCAGGATCATCCCCCGCCATCTTCAGTTGGCCGTGCGTAACGATGAGGAGCTGAACAAGCTCTTGGGCGGAGTGACCATCGCTCAGGGCGGCGTGCTGCCCAACATCCAGGCCGTGCTTCTGCCCAAGAAGACCGAGAAGGCTGCCAAGGCCAAGTAAAGACACACCGACCTCTAAACAAACCCAAAGGCTCTTTTAAGAGCCACCCAAACATCCTAAAGAGCAAATAAGTTCCGCAAATGCAAACCGGTAGAAATGCTATTGGGTCAAACACTGTTCTGTTTGCTTTTAATGTGTTATATTATATTCGGAAGGCAACTTTAATACTGAATGAAACTATAAATGGTCACTTTTAACACCGACGTAAACCTTTAAAATCAATTTCCATTAAATAAAGTCGTAATGGTGGCGCAGAATGCAAAGTGACTACTGCCCCACCCCCTTAACGGCTCCCATTCCGTTGTCCTCTATTACGTCCGCTGGTTAAGCGACTCGTCCTTGAATTGGTATTGGACCTCATTGTTCTGACTTCTGAATAGATACGTAGCCCAGCTCAGCCCTGAACTAACCATAGTTAGTGGTCAGTTTATTGGAATGCGGTTTAGGCGCGGGAATCGTGGAAAACGGCGCATTCCCTTTGAGTATTGACATCCGGGTTTGTCACGCATAAATCGACATGCAAATAGCGCTGTGCTGTCCCTTGCTTCTGATTGGTTTAGAGGCGTCGTTGTCAGGCGGCCCTTCTCAGTGACGTAGTTGGCCGTTGTTTTGTTTCGAAGCATTTGTGGAGAATAAAAAGACCTTAAATCTTCTGTATGTTTGAATTTATTTGACAATAAAAACCCTGCAATGTTATTAGCTAAACACCGTGATTGCCAGGTGAAGCTTCCTAAAGCGTTGAGTTGTTTTTTCCTTTAGTTGACTCGTGCCAGAGCTTCATTTGCTCTATTGTGCCATCAAGTGGACAATAAATGTAAAACGTGTAGTTTTATTATGGTGCTTTGGCTCTGGTGTCTGAAGAGCTGAATGAATTAATGACATTTGTGATGCTGGGTGACCCCACCTCTCGCCCATTGACCCCTGGGATAGGCTCCAGTTCTCCCCGTGACCCCATTAGGGAACAAGCGGTTATGAAAATAGTTGTTTGTGATGCTTATACATAAATGATAAACTATATGGTGTCTGTCTTAATGAAACAATGACAGCAAAGCTTGAATAGATCAAAATGTGAGGGGGGGATTCATCGCACTGCCTTGTATTTCAAATAGACCGCCAAACCACGATGTTTGTTTTGTTTTCAGTGTATTTTATTATATATATACATATATACAGTATATGTATGTGTGTGTGTGTGTGTGTTTTCATCTCTGAACACGGCTGAGGCTGATAATCTGACTACTATTACAGTTTATAGCTAGTTTTTTAATCCTGACCTCTAAGTTACCCAACAGCCAGGTTGTGTAACTCCGCGACCAGACTGAATGAACTGGTTGAACCAGTTAAAACATGAGGATCTTTTTTTCTTCTTGTTTTTACTGTAACTGACAGTTGGCATTTTACTGCCTCTTGCTGTTATTATAGTCTGAAAAGACTAGATTTTCCAACTGCAAGAAAGTGATATCTCATGTGCTTTTATATTTTTTTTAGAGGCCTGTTTTGAGCTCAATAGTTATTTACTATGTTGGATTGTATGAAAATATGACAAATTATTTATTCAAAATCAGGAAAGTTATTGTATCTTTACCAATTGAACATTCAATTAACTTTTTACTCTGCACAGCCCGGATTGATTGTTGGAGGGTCACAGATCTACAGATGAGTTCACTGAACTGATAAAGTACCAGGAAGTGTTATGAAGACTTACCGTCTCTGGAATCATGTTTTTAACAACAGGCTTTTGGAAAAAAAACAAAAGTATGAGGAAACATTATATAATCAGTGCATTCTAAGGCACGTGGCTTAAACACGTGTAATTTCCCCATATAAAAGTTGCTAAACTTAGATAAATGCTGACTATATTTTTCAAAGCTGTTTATTTCATTGCCACCTTGTTCATATTTTGTATTTGACTATTAACATGACCTTTTCAAGATGAAATGAGAACATTACACAAGTTTCAGAAACCAAACGGTTTGGTATCAAAAACATCTTTTTGGACGTTAACTTTGGGTTTATGGTCATGTTCGTGTCCACAGTGAGCCAATGCCTGATGTCCCTTTGCACCCAAAACTTGGGGTAACATACGGGCTGAGAGGCGGGGAACTCATCCCTTTCCAGGACCCTGGGCTTTTAGGATGGGGCCCTCAAAACCGGCCTGGGAGCTTGTACTGATCAAAGCACTGTTAGCGGGCTTTACCCGCCTGGTACCAGAACAACTGTCCAGAACCACTTACCATTCCAAACCCAGCAGCTGAGCCATGCTCACCCCGAACTCATGCCCGCCGTTCGAAAACTGTAAGAGATATTTGAAAAATTCTTGAACCGTGAGCCCCACGAGGGACGCAGGGCCTACAGAGAGTTTTTTTTATTTTTGTCTACCCCCTCCAGTTTGTTTTTATTTCTGTTTCAAAATGACGTCCGTTTTGGAGCCATTAATTTCTAATGGGTTGGTATTTCTCCCTTTTTCACAGTTTATTCGAAAACGGCGGGACTAATGACAGAGAAAAATACAAGCACTTGTCCTGTGGTCAGTTTGGACACACGTGCCGATTTTGGACTCGATACGTCAAACCGTGCGCAGCAGGTTACACGCTGAAATTCGCGCGGAAACGGGATCTCGGGTAATGCAAAGTCGGGTAATGCATTGCATTGTATCTCTGACCAAAGGTGAAAATGAGGGGT